GAACCCTCAGACGTTGAGCAGTTCAGTGCCTCTACACATTGTGAAARGGMATATAACGGATGGATAGATGAGATTAAAAGGAGGAAGAAAAGATGGATAGATCAGATTGGCACGTGGGTGGGCCAGTTGATTAATATACATGTATTGCCGCAGAAACATTGCCCCACTTAGGGCCCTGACGCGCTACTCAACCACTGTCTCTTATACACATCTAGATGTGTATAAGAGACAGGTTCAGTGCCTCTACACATTGTGAAAAGGCATATAACGGATGGATAGATGAGATTAAAAGGAGGAAGAAAAGATGGATAGATCAGATTGGCACGTGGGTGGGCCAGTTGATTAATATACATGTATTGCCGCAGAAACATTGCCCCACTTAGGGCCCTGACGCGCTACTCAACCAAATGTGAAAGGTGGAGGAGAACGCATCTTTGGCTACAGCGGAAAGGCACACCCTTCATATTTTTTGTCTTTCTTACATTTGGTGAGTGGTATGGTTTCCCCCGCTTGACCTTCCTAGCCTTGTTCCACCCCGCACCAAATGTGAAAACAATGGTGGGTGTATCTTGCACCACCTGTTTCCATGGGTGTAGTCCATTCTTATTCCACCGCGCACCAAATGTGAAAACAATGGCAGGTGTATCTTGCACCACCTGTTTCCATGGGTGTAGTCCATTCAAGGTCGAAATTTTTGCCAGGTGCTGGGTGTGCGGACTGTTGTTGTACACTGCCAAAGAACCTGCATCCAAGGTTCTTTTGTTGTTTTGTTTTTCCCGTTTTTTCTTTGACGTGATGCACGTATGAAAACAGCTTTGGATGGTGCCTCATCTGCCACTCAGTAAAAGGGTGTTTTTTCTTTATGGACTCGTTCCCCTTTCCACTGAGCCCATGAAGTGCGTGACCAATGGGTTGGGTTAGTTTTTGAACTCCATGTTGACATGATTGCGTAGTGAATTGCGTGCAAGTCCATCAACCTGCTCGCGGACCATTTCTCGATTTATGGATGTCATCCCTGTGCAGGGGCCACTGATCTTCTATGTAACGCTCCCAAATTTAATGGATCTCTCGAAGGGTACTGTAGGGAAATCTTATGGGAAGAACCAGGTGAAAAAATCCAAACGCGGATAACAGGCGTTGTATTTGAGAACTTGGACATAAATATAGCTTCCCGGGTCTTTTCAATTTGATTAGGAGCTTAAACCGGCAGTAAGTACACCCGGGCCTGGAGGCACCTTACTGTGCGCCAAGCTTTTCCGAGCCCCCAGCGGTCCACTGTCTTTCTTTTTGGCTGGTGCTGCCAGCCATTGTGTGGTTCGGTGGGCCGAGCCTCCGAAAATTTCGTAGGCGACAAGTTGCATTTTCAGCAAGGCTGGGGCCGTGTACTGGCGGTTTAAGATACAATGACGACGCACTAGTCAAGAGACTACCATCAGTGCAGAAAAGGACACGTAGCCCATCCGTGAGGACTTCTTAGAAGGTCTGCCTGGCAGACTTCTGAAATCTTGCGAGATGCTAAGCTATTATCTCCGGGCAAGGATGTGGGCTGTCGAGGGCATGGCCATCCGTGATGGCTCTCTTGAAGACTTGGCTACATACTCCTGCCTTCCTAGAAGGTTCTAACTTGTTATCTTCCTGGAAGCATGGGGTCTCTACGAGGCATGATTAGGACAGTCAACGCTGAAAAAGTTTCACCCAGTGTTCGAATGAGGTAGGATTGTCACTGTTTAAGTGTTGTCTAAGACTGTTGGCGGCTCTCTCCTTATAGGAACGTTACTTGCAGGGTAAGGCCTTCGTGCTCCGGTGCTTTAGTTCAGCCTGGCTCAGTAACTGGTGTCCCTTGATATAATTTTCTGCCTATTAACTGATGGCACCATCCTCTTGTATGTCGATCAAATGCCATCATCCGTTGTCCTTGCTATTGCGTTATGGTCAATCTTTCTTATGTCTCTCCTCCCAGATTTTGCAGTTTTTGATGTTGGGCTTAGATTGCCAGGTGTGCTAAGAATACATTGTCCATTGCTAACATCGACTGGTTTCTGGACTTTCTTTAGTAGTCTTCTCTCCAGCTGAAGTGTTAACTACGCATCGTATTGCTTGTCTAGTCCTGGTGTAGTTGAATTTGAACCTTCGAATCCTGGTTTGTGACCCTTGCTCATTTTGGAGCCATTGAAATAATTGATCAAGGTGATGACACTGGTGGTGGTGGTGGTGGTGATGATGATGATGATGATGATGATGATAATGCGTCCTATCTTTCTTTCCGGAAGACTAGCAAACTTGTCTTTCCATGTTCCATTTTGACTCTCATAGTAGCCTTTCTCTACATGATGATGATGATGATGATGTTGATGATGATGATGATGATGGTGGTGGTGGTGGTGATGATTGATCATGATGTTGATGTGGCATGCTTGTAGTCTTGGCATTTTTTCGGTGCTCTTCTGTGATTACGCACTTGCCTCCTTTTCTATTTGCGGTGTGACTGCCACAGTACCCATTCTCTGCATATTCTCATGCTGTCTGGTTTCAGATCTCTCTGATATTTGCACTGTACGACATAGCCCTAACCTGATTATTCCCGCCGCTTAATGCCCCCTTTGTTTCTAGTCTTCATCTCATGGGATTGGCGTATGCGTAAGAGTTCTATCTTCACCCTCACATACTTCCCAGTAGTAAATTGGTGAATTACATTCCGGCTTCTTTTACCGAGTCTCAAAAACTTTTACTGGATGAGAGAGGGGCATGAGGGTGAATTTGAGATGTGCAGGTATTAGGCCATGCTCGCACCAGAACTTCATTGAGGTAACGACATTCAGATGCGTCGGGGAAAGTCCTACTGTAAACATGCCCTTATTTAAGCAAAACATCCTTAGGCAGGATTTAGCTGGGATGAGTTGCTGCAGGAATGTGCTGTGCCTGCAGAGGGAATGAGTTAATATACAATATTCTGTAGACTTTCGTCATCTGGCTGGAATGTCACAGATTCTCAGTTATGGACTAGGACAGGTGCACAGGAGCTGAGACAAATTATGCTTTGTGGCCTTTGCCGGCATTCTGGGAGATGATACGAAGGTTGATGGGTGTTGGTAACTTGGAGGTTAGAGGAAGGATGGTTTGACAAGGTCAGCCAGTGATCGATTTTTAAGACCTGAAGTTTCAGGTCAGCGACGAAGATGAGTCTCTACTACTGTTGTCCATCGGACTAGGCAGGGGGACAAACACCTGGAGGATGAAGTAGAGCAGCCTCTCATTTTGGTTGGGCTTAGTGGAGGAGGTCCCTGTGGGCAAACGGTGTCAAACAGAGACAAGCTGGTTCATGTTGACTCGCACGAGGTGCTTCATGTTACAGGCAACACTGCATATTTGCCTGAAATGTGAAGTGTAGCGAGTGTAAGGGAGACCACAGGGATACCTTCTTCCCCCGAATACAACTTACTACTGTCATTATAGCTGTATTTGGGCTATCTTTATACAGCTATAATGACAGTACGTTGTATTCGGGGGAAGAAGGTAGCTGTCCAGATCAGGCTTGGGATTTGAGTCATGAACATGAAGTGGTAGCGAGATGCTTGAGAGTCGGTGGGCATGAGCAATCTTCTTTACGGTGCGCCATCTCACAAGCAATTTCGATGGGCTTTCAATAGTAGGCATGTGCCCGTTAACAGGCAAAGCGGGGAAGGAACGGTGACCGAACAGTGATCAAGAGTGGTTGACGGCTCGGCCTACTAGAGTCGTTGACCTTGATGTCAATGTGTCGAGAGGTGGAGGTGCCAAGGTCATGGCCAGCGAAGATGGAGAGGGGGCTGTGGGGTGGTTCTTGAGACAGACTGGGCACGTCTTGGTGATCTATCTCCGTGGCAAAGAGACCTTTTGAGAGACTTGGAGCGCTTGCAAGCAACCTCATATATGACTGTGAGAAAAGGGGTGACTGGACATATTTTGTATTCTACATTGAGAATTCGGGAGACTGTCTGAGTGCTGTCTCGCTCATTGCCAAGAACGAGAAGGTGGGGTGCATGATAAGGCGAGAGGGTTTGTAGGATAGGGGCTGTTGTATATGGGTGCTGCGGTTGTTGTTTATCTCGCTGTCTGCCTACCCTTCTCTGCTTCTGTGCATGCATGTTCTCACTATTGTTTTTTTTTTTTCCCCTTTTCTTTTGTGCTGGGTTTTCAGCCTCGATATCTCTCACAGTCACTCTTTTTGTCTTTTGTCTCTCTGTGTGTTCTCCCTCTCTCTAAGCCAGTCTTGCCTTGTTGGTGCAGGGATTGGATTGATTGGCACGTTGAAGCGAGAGAAGTGCATGATTCTGCCACGGGGTTGATTTCCTTGCTCGGAGAGTAGGCCCCCAGCAGGCAACAGCTGCCCTCTAGCTGTATAAGTCAACAGTTGCATTCAACTTCATCAGCTACAGATAAGTTCCGTGCATTGACGAATACAGATATTCCCCCAAATTGTTGCATTGATCAGGAGATTGTTTCATGTTGACCTGCATGTGACCTCCCTTGATTGACATTGGTGATGAATTGACAGGGGGATACAGTTGCGTCCTATGCTTAGATGTCTATGATCTCCTCCTTTTCGTGCTAACCTTGTTATCGAGTTCTCTCAGTTATTATCAGTAGCCTCCCTCGGTTGTTGTCAGGAGCCTGTCTGTCCACCTTTCCATCATACTTTTTCGTCACACCTTTCCAGTCCTTGGCAAGGATAAGGGATGTCAGTGGGCTGGCGGAGCCGTCCCTGTGGTTGGATTTCTCGGATCTCTTCAGAGCAGCAGTACAGGAGCATAACGACGTAAGATTTTTGCTTACTGAAGTTTCGTCATAGAAGAGCTGTCGAAAATGAGTTTATTTCATGCAAGGCCTCTCTGGGGTCATACAAGAGAAGAATCCAAACCAGGCCACGTGCCCTGGCGAGATTGGTGGTCAGAGTCGCGGTCAGAGCTTCGAACGTACTACTTGAAGAATCTGTTCTACCTGTTGTTGTGGTACACGTTCAGCTCGCTGCTGAATTTGTATAACAAGGAGGTTCTTGGCGACAAGTACGGAAAGTTTCCAGCGCCTCTGTTGATGACAACAATGCACTTCTTTATGCAGTTTTGCTGTGCCGCTCTGCTGCTTCGCAGGTCTGCTCTGTATGGCAATGATGGAGAAGGTAAGAGGGACCCTGAGCTGTCATGGTATGACTACCTAACAAAAGCTGTGCCTGCGGGAGTTGCTGCATCGGTGGACATAGGCCTGTCGAACATGGCGATTGTCAGCTTCCCTCTCAGCTTGCACATTCTTGTCAAGTCAACTGGTCCTGTCTTTGTGCTGATATTTGGGGTTATCCTTGGCCTTGAGAGACCGAATTTGAAGCTATTTGTTGCCGTCCTTGTCATCTTTGCCGGCGTAGGATTGACAGTCACAGGAGGTGGTCCAGTGAGGATTGTAGGTTTGGTGATGACTGTGTCATCTGCGGCACTATCTGGTCTTCGCTGGGTGCTCACAGAAATAATTTTGAAAGAGAAGAAACTTGGAAAGGTAGAAGCGATGTTTTACCTCTCCCCAGTCATGGCTGTTTTCATGGGTCTGTTCTCTTTGGTTCTTGAGCCGTGGGCCGAACTGGGTCACACACATTTTTTTGACACGTCGGCCCACGCGCTCCAGAGTATGGGTATCATGACACTTGGTGGTCTGATTGCGCTTTGCATGGTAGGTGCAGAACTGAAGCTGATTCAGGAGATGAGCGCATTAACAATGGGCATTGCTGGAATCGTGAAGGATTTGTTTGCTGTGGTCGGTGCTGTCATCATCCTGCACGACGCACCATTACGAGTCCGCATGGTGTTTGGGTTCTTTGTTGCCGTCTGTGGAGTTGCATACGTGAATGCCATTCGACTAGGGGGTAATGCAGGGCGAGGAAAAGGGTTGGAAGAGGTGAACGGGGAGAAGGCAGTTGAAAAAGGACCTGGTGACACCGAGTTTGCAATGCTGTTGCGTGAGGAGTCAACCGACGAAGAGTTTGAAATGATCTTTCGTCATGGCGATGTACAGCATCCCGGTGAAGTTGATAGGAGCCAGCCAGGCCGTGCCTGAAGTAGAGAGGGACTTTGCTGTTTGTGCAGGGTTGCCTAGTTTTGTTTGCTAACAGAGCACTCTGGTCCTCCGAACTCCATAGGAAGTTCCTGGGGTAATCGACTGGATCGCCAGGCAATGGATAGGTGATGGGATGCGCCTGTTTTGTGCAGGGTTGCCCAATGTATGCGCTAGCAGTGCAGTTTGATTCTCGTGACCCCATGTTGGGTGCATGAGGTAGTGGATTTGATCCCTGGGCATTGGATTGGTGGTAATGGGATGCATTTCTTTCTTGTAAGTTTCTCCTTTCATCGTTAGTTGTGCTGGAAACGGGCTCTCGCTTAGATGCACTCCAAGCAGATTCGCAGCGACGGATTGCAGAGCTTGGTGGAAGCTTCTGAGTGCAAGATCCTTAGGGTTACGGATCATCACAAGGATGGCAAAGCATGCTGCGATGGGGACCATGCTTTGTCTAAATGTCTGATGAGACGCTGAGGCATCGGCGCAACCTCCCCTTCCGTGGCTTTCAGTCGACAGGTAACAAGGATCATCCCAGGCAGCAGTACTAGTTTCTTGTGGTAGGTTAGTGCTGGCGAGTAATATTTCTGAGGCTGCTATGGCGCTTGTTGAATGAGTTACGAGACTGAGAATCTGGTGGCTGAGTGGTGATCCAATGACGTGAGGACCGGTGAGGTACACACACCAGGTGTAGTGGGACCATGTCTGCACGGGAGCAAGTGTCATCTCGTCTATTGGCTTATCGCGGTAGGGAATGCTCCACCATGTCATTTACAATGGTGTTGTGGTGAGTGTACTCGAAAACTCGTTCGGGATATAGTGAGGAAGCCAGTCGGAAGGTGGTAGCATAAATGTATAGCCAGAGCCTGTTTTGGGTAGCACAGCAGTAATGTGTATGAGATGGAAGAGAGGAAGTGCGATGTGCTATATGTGGTGACTCTGAGGAGCAGATATCATCTCCTAATTCAAGCTGTGGATTGCAGGCCTTGTTTGCGGTCGTCAGTAGCGTTTGATTTTGTGCGTGAGAGCAATTTCTTTGCTCTTCAGGGGACCCGAGTGTGTGAGTGGGGGGATGCTTGCCGACTCCTCGCTTCAATTTGTGCCTCTGTTGCAAGGGCTGTGCCGTCAGTGCCTGATCTTATGGTGTAGTGCCAGAGAGCTGTGTGTTTGCTCTTTCGGGACTGAACTGTGCGAGTATGGGCATGGCGGTGGCTTGCACATTTCAATGCATGCCATCTATTGCCAGGGCTTGGCCAGAAGACTATTTAACAGGTGGCATGTAAATGCTGCAGAGCGTTGTTTTTCTTGATAGATCTCAATGCTCTGCCCTGCAATGAATGTGTCCTGGTTCCTGCTGGTGCTTCTCAGGGTCCAAAAAAGCTTGAGGTGCTCTGGCTTGATTGCTGTTCCACAAAAATTATAACCGGTTGCTGACCAGAATACCAAATGGTACTGTGTCAGCAAAGGTGTATTGAAATGCATCCGAGACAAGAAGCTACCTACGCTGGGCGGTGTGCAAGTCTACACTCGGCATGGTGGCTGCAGGCGGGATAAAAAGCTGCCTGTCAATGACCGGCTCGTAATAAGCTGCATCAGCCTGTTGTGCATGCAAAATTGTGTTCTATCGACCGTCACACTCCTTCAGACTTTTTCTTAATGATTGTTCAGCTCTCCTTCGATGTGCGAGAATGCAAAGGGCACGGGGGAGCGTGCATGTAAAGTCAAGTTTTTGTCTTTACTCTGCAACCAATCTCTGACTGGAACATAGGACTCCCAGGCTGGCAGAGAACCAGGCAGGCATTTAGAGTGATGGGGTTCTAGGATACGGGATGACGGGAGGGGTGAGAGCTTTATTATTATTATGCAGCCTAACCCAAGTCCACTGTAGATTCTGTTCTGTCAGTAGGAGAAGAGAACCATCAGGTGGCCGGGCTTCTTGATGCTCGCTGACGGACGAGTCCTGCTGGCTGGCGCCGGTGTGTCTATCTGTGACAGAGATGTGGCGAAACCAGTGGGAGGAATTTTCGTGTTTCCTTGGACTCCTATTCTTAAACACTTTGATTTCAAACTCGAAGGTTGGGCTAGTTTGCTTGCTTGTGTGTTCGCCTTCCATGCAAACCATCGGAAGGGCTCCGAACGAGAAAGAATTTCCTTGATTATTCTTTCGTTAGGCGTCCAAATGTCTGTCTGTCTGTCTTTGCGACAGGCTGACATGTCTGGTATGCGATTGAAAAGTTGGTTTGCAGACGAATTCAACCCTTTTTTAACGTTCATTCTGTACCGAGTAGCATTACAGATTACCGCGCAGAGCACTCTGTGCTCTGCCATAGCTGGACTATTTTTGAAACGATTATGGTGGAGTTTTGGAAATGAATGGATAAAATTTTCTTATGTTGTCACAGATTTCACGTCTTCTCTTACATCGCGGCGAAAGTGTTGGAAAGATATAAACAGAGTCAAAACAGACGTATATTTGTTGATTGTTGCGTGTCGTCCTTACGCAGGGGCCATGCTAGTCTCTTCCTCTTTGTGCCATTCCTGATATCGATGGGTGTCAGAAGGATGTTGTGAGACGGGTTCTCTCCCCCTTCCTATCTCTCTATCTCTCTCTCTTGATATTTTTTTCGTACTTTCTCATCATAGCGGCGTGTCGCTTGACTATCTCAACCTTGAGCGTGCTAGCTGTCATTCCTAGGTGTGTAATATTCGGCCTGCAGACAGTGCACGGGACTCGTTCTCTCTGTTTTATTTCTCTTTCTTTCTGTTTCATCCCACTCATTCAGATCTCGTTTCCATCATGCTTCGACTTCTTTCTTCGATTTCTTGCTCCAGTCTCATCTCTTCCCTTTCCAAAGTGGACTACCAAGAACTTTGAAAAACTTGGGGCCATTGTGGGAATGGGGTGTGGGGGTTGCCTTGCCTTAGCCCCCCCTCCCCCCCCTTCCCTGCCTTTCCCCTCTAAGTGACTTTCCTGTGTCTAATTGTATAATATCCGCTCTGCTCAAGTTGATACTGCTCCACTATGGGCCTCACTCCACTAACACCACATGCACAAAAGATAGAAATATGGTGGTATATCTTCTCCTGTTCTAGTGGAAGATCTATTCTCGATTTGCGCATTTGATGAGTAGTGGAGTTGAGGCCCTATCTTTCGATGATCCTGTGATATTGCAGATGTGCCTGCTTCCTTTTAAGCCATTGTGCCGACAGAGGTTGAAAAGGTGGGCAAGGCAAGGCAAGAATGGGTAATATGGAAAAGGAGTTTTGAAGGCGGAAAAGAAGACGCTGTGAAAGAACATATGTTCGAAATTGTGGATCCGCCCTTCCCTGCACCCCCTCCTCCCCCTCCCGTCCTTCCTGCAGTCCCTCCTCCCCCTCCCACCAACTTTCTCAAATACTGTTTGTCTTCCTATGAAATACCCCGAGCTTTATTGTATATATGCTGTCAGATACCCAATCTAAGCTCTGAGCATTCATGGACTGGCGTCAGAAAATGTGGATCCGTAAGCCAACCATCACATCCAAGGCTGGCAGCTTCCCCCTGCACGCCAAGCTTCGCCTAAACGGCAGCATGGTGCTTTTGTTTTCGATTTGGCTTCCGCTGCCAGCCATCTTGGTCCGGTTGCCGCGAGCCTCTGAACTTTTTGGAGAGGCTCTCTCGTTTCCTCAACTTGCCTGGGGGCGTGGGGCCATGTACTGGTGTTTTAACCCGCCGGGTCCTCAGTAAGTGCAAGGGATTACAGATGTACCGAAAAGGGAGACTGTGAACCCTAGGAAATGCTAGGGGGGGATCACATCACAGGTCATATGTCTTTTCCTGTATGCTGGGATTCAGAGTCCAAGGGGTTACGGATGTTCCTTAAAAGGAGGCTATAAATAAACCCTAGGCTGTTTTTTTGGGCGCCCGGGCACCCAACTTGTGCCTGGATACACGCCCAGGTGCCCGGCCAGGCATGACCCCCGGGCAGGGTTTTTCGGGTAGCCCCAGTGCCCAAAAAAAAAAAAAAAAAAAAAGTCAAAAACTTCCGGGGGGTGAAAAAGAAACTTCCAATACAAACGACTTTTGGGCAAGGGTCACATCAGAATTCCTCACAAAATCGGAGATAAAAAAAGAAAATATTAAAATAACAGAATCACACTAAGGCACCGCCCTTTAAACCGCTCTACCCGCGGGCTGCTGGGCAAACTTACTGGCTGCTCCACCCCTGGCAAAATCTTAATCACTCCTCTCACCCATCTGAACATTCAGATAGATAATCTTTACAATCTTTACATCCCTTCTTGGGATGATGATGTAATCCGAACGTTGTGGCGACACAAAGGAGGAAGGCCTCATTGAAATGAGGTTTGACATTCATTTCAATTAGCGCAAAAATTGTGTTCCATCAGTAGCGTCCTTCATGAATAGTGTAACGACCGCCCTCGTGTCTCCGTCACGGAGTACCAGCAGCTAGACAGTAAGACCCAGCTGTAGAGCTATCTGGCACCACCACGTGTCTCGACTCGTGAGCTAATAATAGCATTGATTGCTTCCTTCAAGGCATGATTGGCTTTCGGATATCGTTACGGACAAGCTAGTGATAGAGTGTAGGTGTAGGGATGATCTCTGTGATCATGTGCGACTGAGATAAATCATAATACGCATATGTCAACACGCCTTCTGTTCAGGATGCCCAGGGCAGGGTTTTACTATTGAGCCTAGCTGTATTCCTTTCTACGTTTTTTTTTTTTTTTTTTTTTTTTTTTTTCCCCATAACGTACCTTCCCGTGCTGGTAGCTCTGGTAAGAGCAGACACAGTACTTGCACCGGGGGCGAGGCTCCATCTATTGGTGGGGAGCATCACCTGCTGGAAATCGGGTGCAGCGAATAATTTTTACCTCATCTTTCTTTTCCCTTTATTTTTCTGTCTGTTTGGATAGACAACTCTATTGCTTAGATAACCACTGTTCCCAGAAGTCTGTTATATCCAACCGGTTGTTTTTCCCAATCCTGGGGTGGGTGCTCAACGTCCACCTTTGTCGTCACAAATTTTCAGTTGTGGCAGCCGGCTGTGAAGACCGTTATTATCTTTTACTGCAGCGGACTGCAGCTGGAGATTGATTTTGCTTTCTAGGCTGCAACTCATGGCCTGCCGTATGGACTTCTGTGTTCGGCAGGTAACATCAGAGAGTGATAGTTTGAAGTGCCGGTGGAGGACTCTGCAGACTGTTAAGCCACCAGTGGTGGCGGTGATAGTTGTGGTAGTCGAGAAGTTTAAACCTTATCAGCTCTACGGTAGTTGAGTGTTCTGCGGGCTCTTGTACCACTAGTTAGTACAAGGGCCTTGTGACTTTTGCGGCTGTGCACACAGATGCAGCAGAAAAGGTACTGGATGCAAGGGGGGTGCTGAAGGTTGCATAAAAGCGCGAGTGCCCAGTTTGGCGGTTTTTAACCCTCGTCTGCTTCCAATAATAACTTTCGAAAGAAAGTAATGGATGTAGGGTAGGTTGGACTGTGTAAGGGGATAATATCAGGTGAAAAAAAAAAAACTGGCGAACTGCGATATCCATCCCCCCCCCCCCCCCCCCCCCCCCCCTTTCCTCTCCCCGCTCCATCGCAAACTGAATGCGTATGGTTGCTCATCCTCGCCGAACAGCAGTATCACTTTCAGCTTTTGCTGGGAACTTCCTCTCCCTGCTCCATCGCAAACTGAACGCGTATGGTTCCTCAGCCCCACCGAACAGCAGTATCACTTTCAGCTTTAGCTGGGAAGTTTTGCGCAAACCATGCTATGAACTTTCTGGCTCTGTAGTCCTTGGGGAGCCCAAGGAGATTCTTTTTGGAAAACAGTAGCAACCAAAGTACAAACACGAGGTTAAGAACGCATGCAAACCTTTCTGTGTTGTTTGTTCTGTAAATTTGTATCCCCCTTCTTCATGACTCTGAAAGGAGTCTAAAGACATTGATTTGTATCTCTTGCGGTTTCCGGAGGAGGTGCAAACTTTGCAAGTACAAAGTGGGTTGGTTGGTGGAATGCAGTTCCTGTTGACATCCAGAACGAATTGCGTCCTACAGGGAAGATTCGTTCTTTGTTGCTCTCCCGATTGTGTTTCACCTAATTCATTGCATCTGATGAATCATGCATTTCTCTGATTCCTGTTTCCAGGGAAGACGTCGCTGCTCTTCTTCCGTAATATCTGTATAGTATGCACTTGCCTGTCTTCATATGCCAGCGTTCTTGCAATCCCTTTTCTCTCTTGTCTACGTTGACTTTTTCCTCTGAGCTCCTCTCCTCTCCTCTCCTCTCCGTCCATCTTGCACGTCCCTTCTTGTCACCTGATACGGGATCTTTCTTTCTTTCTTTTTTTTTTTTTTTTTTTGTTTGTTTAGCTAGCTCACTCGCTATGTCTTATGGCCACTTACCAATTCACGGTGTTTATATTTTCCGAAATCTCGTTTGCGGATTTCTCGCCGTGCCCCACATGATGTGTGTGATTGGATTTATTACCTATTCTTCCCGCCTGCTCATCAGCTAGTCTATCCTGTGTGGTGGTTCCATCTTTCATCTTGCACTTTGTACTGTCCTGTCCCGTTCTCTTTGAAACACTCCTTTCCCTTCTTCCCCCCCCCGCAAACTTAATACCCCAGTGTCTTTGCTAGGAGAGGTGATCAGAGCACCCCCTCCTAGCAAGAGACCTGCGTGCTCCGGTCTATTGGTGGGGAGCAGCACCTGCTGGAAAGCGGTCCAGCGTCCCATTGTACATCCGACCGCCTGCCAGCATTGATTGCCCTGTTTCCAGGGGATGAACTGTGCAGGGTTAATGATAAGTGTTTTGGACAACAGTACACTTCAGGGCGCCGCCTCTTCAGTGTGCACCAGACCACCAGATCACTCATGTTTCCCTGGCGGCTACTTCCTACTTCTTCTGAATACCTGCCGATACCTTCGGTGTCCTGTTCGTTGACCCGCTGTTTCCTTACTTGGTCCCCTCAGCATGTGGTCTTCCCTGTGGTCATGCTCACTCTGCTCCTCACCATTCCATATCGACCATTGCCAGCTGGTGGGGTGGGAAGGGGTCGGGAAATTCTGTGGATGGTCGCAGCGGGATCTCCTGGCCCAATGTAGTCCAGTCTCTGAAGCAAATACGGTAGTCCCTCCTGAATTCCTCCTGGTTACTCTCCTGGGCGGGCGGGCCTGCCATCCCATCAGACAGATGCGATCCAGCCCCTGTCTTCACTGCCCAACCCGTCCCTAGAGAATTGATGAATTGCTTGTGTTATGTCCTTTGATGAATGAAACCGCTCAAGTTGGTTTTTAACATTTTGCCACTGTACCATGAGTTCTTGTTGAATTTATTATTTTATCATGTCTGTCACCTCTTCCCCAGCTATGCGGCCCCCCTCGGTAGCATGGGTACAGCGTTTCTCCAGAGAGTCCACATGACCGCTCTCCTTCCTAACTTGAACTTGTTGTTTTCAAAAGTGTTGTCTGTGGGGGAGGTCCATGCCTCGGATAATATGGCCCTCCAATCCCATGGCCAGTTGGACCCAGTGCCCAACAGTGTCCAGATCCTATCCCGCCATCGCCATGTAAGAACAGCGCCCGGACACTGCATGAATATATGCTCTACGGTATCCGGAATTCTGCGGGAGGGGAAGATGGTGTGGCACGATTTGCACCACGGTAGCGCCCACCCCTTCTGCTCTAGATATGCACGATCTATCAACCAGTCGTTGGTGGGCAGGCAGTGATGTTCTATCTGCCACTGCAACGAGGCCATCTTCGCTGGCCTAGACCTTGTGGCGGTGAACCATCGGATAGGGCGGATTGCCTCAGTTCCTACATTCAAGTGGTGAGACCTCCATCGAGCCTTCACCGTTTCTTTTGTGTTCACCTCTGGTCGCAACAGACGGTAAGTAGCCTTCACCGTTAAGGTATGCGACTTTAGATTCTCCCCCGACCTGCGTTTTTCCGTAGGGGCCCGCTGCCATTCCTCGGGGTCAAAGGGGAGCTCTGCTACGGGGATATTTGGTGGATATGCGATCCACACATCTTTGTCCCGCAGCACACGGATCCTGTGCAGGTCTTCATTTCTTTAGCATACTAAATGCTACTCTATTCCATTCTGTTTGCGACCCTTGTTGTTTGTGTTGCTGATTATTCTTTTTCTTTTTCAATTTACTGGCTCAGGTTTATTGATATGGTAGGAATTGAGGAGGCTTTGCAATCAAGCACTCTTGTTCTGAACCCAGAAATCTCCTAACCTATGGGCATGGATAAAGAGTTCTGTTTTCCCCCTTTTCATGACACATCTCCCCCCCTCGCTCCGTTGCTCTCCTGCCTCCTCTCTCTCTCTCTCTCTCTCTCTCTCTCTCTCTCTCTCTCTCTCTCTCTCTCTCTCTCTCTCTGTGTGTGTGTGTGTGTGTGTGTGTGTGTGTGTGTCTCTCTCTCTCTCTGTGTGTGTGTGTGTGTGTGTGTGTGTGTGTGAAGTTCCACTGCTTCTCAGCTGTTTGACGATCGTAGACAGACGACAATCTAACAGCTATGGAATCGGTTCGGACACATTTATGATGTGTGCACAATTCTGCAGAAGTATCGGATCGTGCGGAGCAGGCCAGGGCGGGGCCTGTTGGATCCTTCACAAGACTACGATCAATGGTAAACGACTTCCTGGCTGGTGCGTACTCTCCAAGGAGCGGGGTGTTGATCATTTGAATAGAGGGTTCTGTTTTTCAGGCCATGAGATATGTAAATCGGTGCTCGGTTGTTTGGTTCTGCGTTTCACTCTTTGCTCCTTTATGCTTTTTCGTCTCCCAAATACAGCAAAGTGCGTGTACCTCTCACTCTAGCGAGGAGATACTTGGGACACCTGTCGTTGGTAGAGCCACTGCATGGTGCATGTGCGAATCCTAAGGTTGCAATTGCTGCAACGGGCTGACTGGCCTTATTACTTTGCCCTCCTGTGAGATCCGGACCATCTGAGAAACCTTCTTGAACAAGGGTGGGGTGGGTTTTCTTCAAGTTGAGGAAATGTGTAGAGTAGACCGACCCTTCTCTGTTCTATTACACCGGAAGTCACTTTTGATTCGGTTGGCATGTCTTGATAGATTGGTGGCTGGCATCATGTAGAACCCCCTTCTGCTTCTCGACAAGGCAAAAGTGGGGGCTGCCTTGCAGTATGCACCTGTGTCTTGAAAAGAAATGCGGGTACCAATGTGGCAACAAATGTTGTGATGAGTGTGGTGACCAGTGGAGTGACACCGAGGAAGCGACTCTGGTGAAGCTCTTAGGCGGAAGGTTAATCTCGCGAAGTAAGGTGGGGAAGCCATGGTTTTGATGGATTGTTGGTAGATATAAATTTATGTCTTTCTAGATGAACAGGAGGGGCAGTAAGGCAAGGCTTAAAGGCATGGAGGGGGGGACTTTTTGGTGAGCAGGGTGTGGAGGGGAAAGGGTTGTGGTGAGCAGGGAGTGGGATAGGGGGAAGGGTTGCGGTGAGCAGTGTGTGGGATAGGGGAAGGGTTGAGGGGGAGAGCAAGGGCTGCGGGACTCGGACTGACGTCGATGAGCAGCGGGAGTGCGTGACAAGGCTAGGCGAAACGTTTTGGTGACTCGGTTGTGAAAGACGGGGTGGGGGCGGGGGGGGGGGGGGGGGGGGGGGGGGGGGGGGGGCTGAGGGGGCTGAGGGCATCAGATGGAGACTTTGTTGGCAGGGGGAAGTCATATGTACATTGGAAGGTGTTGTTGGAAATGATTATGGGAGATTGGCACGGGCTGCTGCTCATTAAATTGGGTGTGTGGGTCTACTGGTGGGTGAAGGATCTCCCAAGCTGTTTTGTGAAAGGGATTGGTTTTCCGTTCTGTCATCATCGCCCTATATGGCGGATGTTACATCATTGTTGAGTACAGGCGTTCTCCGGAACCTCTCTGACAAGGCGTACGAGAAACGAAAGAATGCGGCTTTGGAGGTCGAAAGCGTTGTGAAGACGCTTGCAAACAACAACGATCACGAAAGGATTTCGCACGTGATTACAGTTCTGATCAATGATTTTGCGATATCAACCTCGTCCGCAAATCATAGGAAGGGCGGACTCATCGGGCTTGCTGCGGCAACTGTGGGATTGGCTGCGGAGACGAACCAGCACTTAGAGAGGATAGTGCCGCCCGTTTTGAAGGCGTTCGCGGACCAGGACAGCCGTGTTCGGTACTATGCGTGTGAGGCCCTGTACAATATCGCGAAGGTTGCACGAGGGGATTTTATCGTCTTCTTCAATGAGGTCTTCGATGCGTTGTGTAAATTGTCCGCCGACACGGATCCGAACGTCCAAAATGCGGTGCATTTACTCGATCGGCTTGTCAAGGATATTGTTACCGAGAGCGACCAATTTAGCATCGAACAGTTCATACCCTTGCTCCGGGAACGGCTGAGTATGATCAACCCGTACGTCAGGCAATTCCTGGTGGGATGGATCACGGTCTTGGACAGCGTCCCGGAGATCGATATGCTGGGTTTTCTACCGGACTTCCTCGATGGATTGTTCAATATGTTGACAGATTCCAACCACGAGATCCGACAGCAGGCAGACACTGCGCTGTCGGAGTTTCTCGCGGAGATCAAGAGTGCACCCTCGGTGGAGTACGGGAGGATGGCGGAGATTCTGGTGAAGAGAGCGGCGTCAAACGACGAGTTTGCACGACAGACGGCCATGATCTGGATTTCGGAGTTTGTGAAGCTCGCCAAGGAGTCGTTAGTGCCGTACTATGACAAGATACTTGGGGCCGTGTTGCCGTGCATATCGGACAGGGAGGATAAAATTAGGCTTTTTGCGAGCGAAACCAATTCAGCATTGAGGGACTTCAAACCGGAACCTGCCGATGGGTTTGACGTTGGAGCTGTCTTGACTGTTGCTCGGAAAGAACTAGAAAAAAGCGAACATGAAGCCACACGGCTGGAAGCGTTGCAGTGGATTGCTGTGTTATTGGAAAGGCATCGCACGGAAGTGTTATCGTTTCTGGATGTGATATTTCCCGCTTTGCTCCAGTCGTTGTCCGACAATTCCGATGAGGTGGTCATGCTGGTGCTTGAGGTCCAGGCATGCATCGCGAGGGATACCCAGGAGTTCCGCCGCTTGATGGTTTTTCTTATGTTGCGGTTCAATCAGGAACGGGGGTTGCTAGAGAGGCGCGGCAGCTTAGCACTGCGAAGGTTGTGCGCTTTGCTTGACGCAGAGAGGGTTTATCGGGAACTTGCACAGATTCTAGAAGCAGAGGCTGACCTGGAGTTTGCGAGCATCATGGTGCAGGCATTGAATCTCATCCTCTTGACAGCAACAGAGCTGGCTGGCTTGCGGGCACTTCTGAAACAGACTTTGTTCAGCACCGAAGGCAAGGACCTCTTTAACACTCTGTACCCTTCATGGTGTCATTCTCCTGTTGCCACAATAAGCGTTTGCCTTCTCTCGCAGGCTTACTCACACGCTAGCGCTGTTATATCCAGTCTTGGGGAGACTGACATAGATGTCAATCTTCTAGTTCAGCTCGATAAGCTCGTTCAGTTGCTTGAGACACCTATATTCGCTTACTTGAGGTTACAGTTGTTAGACCCATCCAGGAACGCTTCCTTGATGAAGACTCTCTATGGGATTCTCATGCTCCTCCCACAGCAAAGCAATGCGTTCAAGATTCTGCGCACCAGGCTGAAGAGCGTCCCTACCCAGATGCTTCTTCAGAGTGCTCCGCCGGTGCATCCCCCGGAACAGTCGTCAGCACCGTCCGCTCCAGTGACTTTGCATCCCATACCCCTGATCCGCCGAGCATCTCCTGCACAAATGCTTTCCCACGAGTCGTCGCAAGCAATTCATGCTAATCCAGAGGACGGTAGCACGCTGGGCGCCGATTTGACGAATGGCCTGCCAGCCATCCACTTTGCGCAGAAGCTGAAGCAGTTCGATCACACACAAGCACAGCATCGCGCACACCGGCAGGCACAGTTGAAAGCGCAGGTGCAGTCGCAGGTACAGCATAGAATCTACATGATGCCCGCAAGGATGGCGCAGATGCAATTGCCGGAAGTGCAAATGCAGAACGGGCAGAGGGCGGATGAGGGGCTGATGATGGATAGGCGTGGCAGGGGTCATTCCTTAGTGGAGAGGGGTGTTAGGGGCGCGTCTCGACCAACGTGGCGAATTAGTAATTGAATCGTTTTCTTGCCGACTCACTTCGATCCCTTATCAAGCATGTTAAAATTTCTTCTAGCTTCCTCATGAATTGGTAATCTGCCTTCGTCCTCTGTGCCATCTCCGCAGGAAGTTCTTTTCTCATTGTCATGTGTATCCTCCATTCCATCCTTCTCTAGGCATCAGCACATTCCTTGATCCCCCTTGCATAAGTACCATAGCTGTAACAGGCAGTTGTGGTCAGTTGTTTGTTGCTCACCCGAATCATTCGAAGCTTTGTTGCCTTAGCCTGCTCCTTTCTCACTCGTTATGGTATTCTGAGAATGCTCCCCTCCCCTTGTCATTCCTCTCTCTCTCTCTCTCTCTCTCTCTCTCTCTCTCTCTCTCTCTCTCTCTCTCTCTCTCTCTCTTGTTCGCTCGCTCTCGCTCTCGCTCTCTTTGTGCATGTGTGATCTTCCTCTTTTCGCTTAGCCTGCATGCACTCTCAAGCCTTTGGTCGGTGTGTCTATTTTCTGTTGAGCTCACGATGACAGAAGCCTTCACTCTGTTGATTGATTCTTCCTCTCCCTTTGATTGTTCGCTTATTCCGGAGACATGCATATGCCACATTTGTGAGATTATGCCGCTAGCATTTGACTGGTTTCATTTTATGTACACCACAAAGTATCGTACCTATACATTTAGAGAGAATGATTAAATGAAGAGGGTGGTAGTTTGGCAGATGAATAGAACTCGGTTATTGACCTAACCGCGATCGGTTGACTCCGGTTTCTCGTCACGGAAAAACTGCAGTTTGCAGCTCAGTCATGGAATGTTCGACGACTTCATTTCATGTTCGTGCTCCTTGAAAGTGGGGGCTACGACAGGATATGGTAGGACTGACAGAGAGGTTGAGCTGGGGTTAAGGGAAGCAGGGGTTTGGAGGGGGGGAGGTAAGCTGGAGGAGAGGGTGAACAGAGGAGGAGGGAGGGGGAGGGGCAGGGAGGGAAGGGGCAGGGAGGGGTGATCCAGATTTCCAAGGGACTGTTATGGAGAGGGGACTGTGATGGAGAGGGGACAGTTACGGAGAGGAGGCAGCGAAATCGAGTACCCATTCTTGCCTGAGAGATGAGTTGTATAATGCAGCTTCACATTGTTGAATGCTGACAGCAGGTTGTGTTTAAGTTCTAACTTCTATATTTGTATTTGGGTTACCTTGACTTAGTTCCATGGTCATCACGTCAGGAACGGAACATTTTTTTTTTTTTTTTTTTTTTCTTGAGCACTTGTGCTCTTGTATTCATCATCTTGTTAACAGCTCTCAATGAAAGCCTTTCATGGGTGGTTGTTTGCGATGAATGTAGACCGACGACTGTACCTCCTGTTTGTGCGTAGCAAATACCTCCTTAGGGCATACTCACACTAGGACTTTTTACTTATTTCTGGACGTAATTGCGGGTCAGATGCATCCAGGTCTGTCCGTAAATGTGATTAGATCCATTTAGTGCTAGTGTGGGTATGCCCTCAATTCTCCTGCTTTCGTGCAACGCCATGTTGTCAGTTGAGTTTGCTGAATGATAGAGGGTGCATCGGACACAAATGTTTGCAGAATGATTGGCGATACAAACTTTGTCAAAGTAGTTTTTTCTGTTGTGCTTCCCCCTTTTTTTTTTTTTTTTTTTTTTTTTTTTTTTTTTTTTTTTTTTTTTTTTTTTTTATTTTTAATGGTGTTCTTTAGTTTGGATGTAGCAGTCTGAACGCATAAATGTATTGTTGTGATTTTTAGAAAAATCGAACGGATGAGAGAGGGCAGGCAGTTTGTTCGAACACACAGCTGGTGAACAGGGAATACGAGTTTGCCTGTACGGTTAAGGTTTGGTTGTGGTCGGGTAGGTTATGGGTGTGGGGGGATCTGCTGTTTTAGGTTATGGGCCACTTTGTGTTCTGAAGTTGGTGAGACTCCCGCGAGAGATCTCATATTTTAGTCTGATACATGCAATAGGTAAAGGTGCTAGAAGTGGTGCTCTGCAAAGCGAACGTGGTCTATATGTTGAAAGGAGGGGCACAGTGTTGAAGCCAGAGGAGGGGAAAGGACTGCGGCTCTGCAAGGGAAGGAGGGGTGAGGAGGGTGTGTGGGGTGGGTGGGGTGTGAGGTTGGGGTCGGGGGAAGGGTGTGTGTGTGTGTGTGTTATATGCTGCGGGAAGAAAAGGGTTCATGTGTCTATTGAGAGCGAGGGCTGAATGCTTACAAGTGCATTATCCTCACAATCTGCTGGGCAAACGATTAGCTGATGGACTGATACTTCGTTGTATTCTTCCAGGACAAGCATTGTTTTAGGGGAACAGTGACAAGACAACAATTGCCACACCAGCAGCAGCAGCAGCAGCAGCAGCAGCAGCAGCAGCAGCAGCAGCAGCAGCAGGGACATGACGATGGGCAGAGGGGGTAGAAGAGAATGTAGACATAGAGTAATCATAGGAAGGGTGGTTGGTAATAGGTTAGGTAGGTGATATGGAGGGGAATGGGTGGGTTTGGTGGGTGCAGTGTTCAGAGAGCATCTGGGGGCGTGGGGGGGTTGTTGATGCTGGCCAGTGTCAGTCGAAGCGACTGAGCACGATCAGGCTGTGTAGTAGCTCCACATGTGGCACAAAAGCTTCGTGGGATACTTGAAAAACCACGACCTTTCAGAATTGGGAGTGGCGATTGGAAACGATGCTTGCCGATTCCCGCCAACATGAGATCACAGAACAATGGGTTTGTTTTCTTTGACCTCTTGTTGGAGTATTCAACAAATAATGAATGATATGAGAATGCTCAGTGGAAGAAAGGGACTTCAGTTTTCTTCGTAAACTAACGGAACTGCATGTCTATCGCTCACTATGAGAGAGAATCCAATCTCTCTCTCTCTCTCTCTCTCTCTCTCTCTCTCTCTCTCTCTCTCTCTCTCTCTCTCTCTCTCTCTCTC